CTGGGAAGTGTCGTGAGAGGAGGAGGAGGCGTAGCCCGTGCGCTGGGGCTGGGAGGAGGAGGCGGGGTGAAGACGGGCTCGCATCCGCTGGTGGTCCCTGGCGGCCTCGTAAGCCTGTGGGGCCGATGTGAACTCGTACCGCCATAGCTCGGAGAGGTACTCGAGCAGAAGGCTGGCCAAGAAACGATCGATAAGGGCAGCCTCGAGGAGGAACGCCACGTCGCAAACGAGGTGGGCGTCCTGAAAGACCTGGATGTGGCGATCCAGGCCGGCAGCGCCACCAGAGCCGGACCAGCGTGTAGTGACGACACGCTCGAAGGCGTCAGTCATGTCGTATTGGGCTCCGAAGCGATCCTCGAGGAACGCCTAGAAATCCACGAAGGTCGGAGTCCAACCCTCACGAAGGGAGTAGGCATAGAAATCCTCCCAGGCCTTGAAAGGACCGCCACGCAGGCACGTGGAGAGGTGACCCACCTACGTCTCGGGTGTGGCGCCCATGAGCTGGAGTGTGCGGGTGGCAGACTGCAGCCACCGAGACACGCGTATGCCTGTACCGTCATACAAGGCAATGTCCGACAAGCGGATGAGTGGTGCACCACCGTTTTGGCGGCGAGGGGATCGAGGAGCTGAGGCATGTGCCACGGCTGAGTAAGTCGGCGCAGGTCCTGGAGAAAGGGGCGCAGCTGACTGTGCGCCCGGGCCGCATGGGGGAGCGGTGATGGCAACAGCGGCAAGCTGCGAGGGTGCTGCGGTAGAAGAGGTCGCAGTAACCGCGGCGCGGCCACCTATGAGGGTGGGGGTGGCTGAAGGCGAAAGAGGGCGAGGTTGGCCCGGAGCTGGGCAATCTCGTCCTCGAGACCTTGAACGTAGGTCGTGCGAGGGGTAGCAGGGGGAAGAGTGGAGGAAGTGGATGCACAAGCGTTGCGGGGCATCCCAGAGGGGGGAGAGCCAGGTGGCGCTGCGGTCGTGCGAAGGGGGGGGAGGAGCGGGGCACCCAGAAACGCTGAGACCATGGTAACTGGTTGTGGTCCCGTGGCCGTCGTAACCGGAATCTGGGCCGGTGCGCCCGTAGACTGAGGAAGGGCCTGACTCGTGGCAGCCGTCGAGCTAGGGGCGTGGACGGTCACCAACATGGTCGGGTCGGGGGCGGCAGAGGAGGAAACTCCGCCGTGGCCACCCTGTCAGAGAACTGGGGACCCGGACTGAGAGTCAGGAGAAGAGAGAGGATGAGGAAAGGAAGGACGACCAGCGTCCTGGAGTTGCTGCACACCTGTGGCAAGGGTTTCCACCTGTGCCTGTAAGGGCCCGAGGGTCGCGAGTTGCGCCTGGATGGGCGCAAGGGTCGCGAGTTGCGCCTGGATGGGCGCAAGGAGGGAGGTGAGGAGGGTGTGTAGATCCCCCTGGGGCTGATGGCCCTGGTCCGCCGGCACGGGTGTGGAGCCCGATGTCGTGGTCATCGCCGTGTCGACAGCGTGTGACGCACCGTCGACCATGGGGAGATGACGGACCGGACTGGAGGGGCTAGAAGAGGTCCGCCTGAGCGGAGGGCGTAGGGGGAAGTCCGCGGTAGAAAGTGGCGAACGCCGCTAGCAGGGCTAGCACGGGCGCCGTCAAAGGGGGAGGGGTGGTTCGGGTCCAGGGTGCCCGAAGAGGACGGGGAAGTAGGGGGGT